TGTGTACATTATATGTCAAAAATGTAGGACCACAAAGAACATTGCTGTTTGAAACAAAAGTTTGAAGAAGTTTATGGGCAAAAGGAAGCAAACTGTTTTTTCTAGTAGAATTTTCAATGTGCAAAATTTTAATTGCAATTGTAAATTCCAAAAAAAGATCATAAAGATCCTTTGGCATTTCATTTCTTAAAACCACCATACCAGAATACAATAGAAATTGTCTAAACTTTGTAGCTTTCCACCTGTCAAGTAGTAATAAACTGCAAGGGCGCCTTGCAAACTGTGATGGTGTACACTCTGATATGTAAGATAATTTTTTTGATATAGACTCTATATTCTGAAAACTAAGCCGGACTCTTCTAGGGCCAGATTTTAAAAAACACAAGAATCGTTTACAAACGCCTAAAAAAATAAGGTGCATAGCATCTAATGGAAAATCTTTAATGACTCCAATTTAATGACTCCAATTAATTTACGAAGAGGACTATTAGACAATTTGTGACCTGGATAACATCCTTTACGAGTATCAATATGAGTTCTCAATTTTCCACCATTTTTTAAATAAACTATTCTATGATTTTCTGATGTTGCCTCTATATTACATCTTTCACAACCAAGCTTTGCAGTGTGTCCAGTTACACATTTAATAAATGCTCGTGCAAGTGCATCGCAAATAAATGAACGAACCCGATATGATAATTCAATGCCATTTATAGAAATTCCATGCAGGTGCATGTAATTAGCTTCATTCACAAAGTCACCTAAGAACTCATCAATATAAGAGGGTTTTTGATTACCACTGTACAAGGCAACCACAAATGGCTGATCAACTATACCAACAACTCTACATAAAATTGGCCAAAATTGCAAGCTTGATGATTTATGTACAGGTAATCCATCAATATTTATATCAACTTCAACAGATCTGCTTTTCTTTACGCTTCTTTGAAAAATTGATAAAATACCTTTCCTTAATCCTAGGTAAACATATTTTCCACTACATTTATCAACCACATTAACATGACGAGGAGTATGTAGTAGAGTGCGAGAGTCTTTTGGACTATCTTCACTTGGAAAACGACCATTAGTTCTTATCAAGTGTAGCAACTCATTAAAGTACTCTCTTTGAAGTTTACATTTTGTTGCCCAATTGGTAAGATTTGATAAAAAATCATGCACAGTTTGTTTAACTAAACAAGTACCTTCTGACCTAGAACTTTTAAAAGAATCTACTTCTTCTGGTGAATTGGAATGCAAATGAACAATTGAACTAACATCTATGATTTTGTGAAAACCAATTGAACATTTAGTTATGTTATTATCACTATTGTAGGATATTTCTTCAGATATATAGAACAAGAAGGAGAACTTAATGAAGCTAAATCGAAACAAAGGTCAGAATTATGACTATTTTCTCCAGATAAATTTTCAGCTAAGGCTGATTGGTATTTTGTTATATATTCTTTAATATACCATGCTGGATTTGCTCGTTTCATTTTTGTTTAAATATATAATAATATTATTAAAATATCATTTAGCCTATAATAAACAGAGAAACATACCCACACACACATATATATGTGTATGTGTGTGTGTGTGCGTGTGTGTGTGTGTGTGTTAAAAAAATATGCTCGTTTCATTTTTGGTAAAATAATTAATAATATTAATAGATATCATTTAGCCTAAAACAAACAAAGACACAGTTTTAAAGTAATATATTTTTTGATTGATATAGAGAAAAACAAACAAAATTTAATTAAGAGAAAAAAAATTAATCACTTTTATTTATATTTTGTTGTTTTTTTATTTTCTAAATTTCGAGTTACCTGAAAAATATCAGCTAAGGGGACGAATAGAATGGTTATCGTATATATATAAAAAGTATATACACATAACATATTTATCATAACATAACATATATATCAAAACATAATACACACACACATATGTATATATATATATATATACAAATATATATATAAATATATATATATATATATATATATATATATATATATATATATAATATATATATATATATATATATATATATATACATATATATATATATATATATATATATATATATATATATATATATATATATATATATATATATATTATATATATATATATATAATCTAGTTTTAAAGCGTTACGCCTAGAGCGATTTACGTACGCCTTAAGCAATTTTTACGTAAGCGTAGAGCTGTTTTGGTTAAGCTACTTTTTATCATTTTTTAACTTTTAAATTAGCGGTAACATAAAAGAAGTAATTAATTTGTAAAAAAACCACATTAACTTTTAAATAACGGTATGTAAAGATATTTATTAAAAAAAGAATTTATTTTAAAAATAATTGTTGTAACTTTTCATCGCGATATATCTTTCCTTTTTTATAGCAATTAATTTGACGCTAAACTTTTTATCCAAATATTAAGCAACATGAAAAATTGTTTGTCAATCCTTAACTACAAATTTTTTGCAATGTTTTTAATAAAAAGTAGTAATTTTTTAAAGTTTTCAGTAAAAAAATTTAAAAAATATATATTCCGTATTTATTAATACAGAATATAAATGTTTTTTGTAATATAGATTTTTTAAGAATTTTTTACTGAATTTATAATAAAAAACGTTTGCAAAAAAATTTTTTAATTAAGAATTGACATTTTTTTTAATATCTTAAAAAATATCTTAAAATTTTTGTTATCATGATAACAAAAACATCAAGACATTTTTTCGAGATATTATAAAAAATGTCTTTGCTTTTCTTATTAGTTAAAGGTTATAGATACCTTTACCTTTAAGTTATGTGGGGAAGGGAGTCGGCACAGGAAAAAAAAATTACCTGTTACTCGCAATATTTGAATGAAGACAATTTGTTAAATTTCTTCTGCCTGCGAATCAATAAGTTTTTTTTTTCATAAATCAAGTTATATTATAAAGTAAAGAAATCATGAGTAGACTACAACATCCGCTGATGACACTAATATTACGTTGAATATATTTATATAACGAAGGTTTCATCATGCACGCGTACCCCAGTCACGAATTTGATATCATACGGATATCAATATGATATCAAACTTTGATATTTATGATATCAATATATGATATCAAAATGAAATCACTCGTTGAAATCATTCTGAACTCAAAACCTGATATCATACTATGAGAAGTTTGTGATATCAATAAGATATCAAAATGAAATCACTCATTGATATCATTCTTAAATCAAAGGCTGATATTATAACATGAGAAGTTTATGATACCAATTTGATATTAAAAAATAATCAATCATTGATATCATTCTGAACTTCAAACCTGATATAAAATGAGCAGTTTATGATATCAAAATGAAATCACGTATTGATATCATTACTATTATTTACTTAATAATTATTTTGATTATAAAAACACTTTTTCAAAGTGAGGAGGGCGGGGGGAGGGGGGGGCAAACTCGCTCATTAAAAGAAATTGCCTATTTCGTACAAAAAATTAGTTTATAAAAAATAGGTCCTTGAAAAAGCGGGTGTAGTAAATTAAGGGATTATAGTAAACTTTTAAAGGGGGTAAAGTAACTGAGTTTATTCAAGGTAAATGAGTAAAAGCATAAATATTGACTTATCAAAAAAATTGAAATCAAAATAATACAAAGAGGCATTAAAATTCAATTACAAATAAATTTACAAATGTTGAATGTTCCATTTTTCAAATCATTAAAGCACTTTATAGCTCATTTAGCACCTAACGAATACCAAATATGGTTAGTTAACTTGTAGAGCATTTCAACTGTGCACAAGTGATAAAATAACTGCTGCTGCTAGATTATCAGGTTCAAAAAGAGACAGCGGTATTCTTATGGCCTTTGATACAAAATCATCAAAAGGTATATACAACATTTCTGTATGCTTGTTGTTAACCTTGTAAATACCAACAAGTTTAGAATTACAAGGAGAGCTGAATAAATTTTCTGTTCTGATATAGACTTGACCAAGAACACTTGTAGCATTACTCTTTATTGAGTCAATGACACAAAAATTTCCGCTCTTCAGACGATAGCATTCGTTGATCTTTGGATTAAAATTTAGCTTTTTTTTACAGACTGCTGACCTGTTATTGTTTATTTCTGTGAGTCGTCCAGCAATCTGAGCTACTACTTTAGAAGGACCCCGTATCATTCTTTTTATAGCTGACATATTGTTTTTAAATGGATAGGCTGTCACTCCATCTAAACAACCATATCTCTCTGCTGTTAAAGTTAAATGGTTTAAACAATGAAAATTATAAGTTAATAGATGATCGGAGTAGAGCAGTCTGGTGTTGTCCACAAAGCTTCTAAGAAACTCTTGAGCATAACCTTTATACTCAGTCATCAAATCTTTGCTGTATAAGATCCGAATAGCTACACTTAAATAAAGAAAGTGGTTGTATTTTTCTTTGCTGAGTATATATTTCAAAACTACTGGTCCACAATATAAAAGAAAAGTTCTAAATTCAGAGGCTTTCCATAACTTGAGATCTTTCAAACTTCTTGGTTTACGATTAAATTCTATATGAATGTATTCTTTTAAAGAACATAAGTAAGTGCTTAATAAAGTAATTTGCCCTGATGACAATCGAAAAGGAAGCGGGCCTTCCTTCCAAGTTAACAGTAGTTTTTTAGTACAACCTAGGTCCACACAATGCATCACGTCAAGAGGGAACTGTTGTACCATGTCTATTTCAAGTGATTCCAAGACACTGATATACTTGGGATGACTTTTCTGAATTTTTTCTCTAAATGTCTGATCAGTGCGCTGAGTACCAGTGTATAAAAACATCATTCGACCATCATAAGTTCCTTTTACATTACAATAATCACAACCAATGCGACCATTATAGTGAGCAATGCCTTTAATCAAAGCTTTTGCTGGCGCATCGCAGATAAAATATTTCGTATTTACTTGTATGGTTTTTTCATTATAATCATTAATGCCATTTGCCATTAGGAATTTTAACTATAAAGTAAACTCTTCCAAGAATTCCAAACTAGTTGGCTTCTGTACACCGCAAAACAACGCCACAACAAATGGACTGTTTTCACGCACATTATCAACACGACATTGAATTGGCCAGAGGCAAGCATTTGTACTTTTATGGATAGAGAGGCCATCAATGTTGAATATTAACTCAACAAAATCTAGATCTTTTTTAAAAATAGTTCTCAAAATACCATCTTTTATTCCAAAGTAGGTATAATCACCACCTGAAAGACAAAAGTTAGTTCTTTTATATTACTACAAAAAAATACATGTGAAATATATTTTTATCAACTAAAGAAATTCGACTAAGCAAATATAACAATAACTATATAACTATAACTATATAACTAAGAAATATCAAGTAAAATTCAATGCCTTTAACTTAACTATTTAATACTACAATGTCTAACTAAATTAAATTTTTAATATGATTTAGATATCAAGAAAAAAATCTACATTAGGGTTCAACAAAAAAAATTCTTAAAAGATTTACAGACCTGACTTTTAAATAATTTCTAACTTGCAAGGCGTTTTTAATAGCGTTGTAGCTTGTGTTGGCAGATCTACACTAAAGTGATTATGCAAAACTTTTAATAATGATGTTAATGTTGCTAGAGGCACCGAACATTGCACAGCCCATTGGGCTAGATCTTCTTTAAACGTCAGGTCATTACTTTCATCGTTATTGCTTAAGTTATCAGTAAAAAGGTCTGCGGCCTTTTCTACTGCATTTATTGATTTCCATGCAATAGAGTCATCTATATCAAAACAGCCAAAACCTTGAACATTATGAAACTCTTCCTTTGACGGTAACAAATCACTTCCTGATAAAACACTAGAGCTTACATAACTTTGTTCATAGGAATGGGGATACAAAAGTTTGCTTACAGATGGTATTTTCTTTATGTTATCAAAAGCCTCAACTTTTTCACCTTCAGTACCAATATATGGGATATTTATAAACTGTTCAAATTTATAAGTCTTTCTACGAGCATATTGCTGAGTCAATTGTGCTCTCTTTCTGCTTTTGGAACTCATTTTTATTCAAATCAATATGACTGAAAATAAAATAAAACAAACATAAACATGGAAATAACAATTTGAAAAAGAAGAAAAGATAGCTAACTTTTGTATTAATTTATTACTGCTCTGTTCTTGAAATATATTATATATTTATATATATGTATATATATATATATATATATACATATATATATATATATATATATATATATATATATATATATATATATATATATATATATATATATATATATATATATATATATATATATATATATATATGTATACCGCGAAATTCAGTAGACTTCAGGTCAACAAGAGTGCTGTTCTTAGCCGAGGTTTGAATAAATTTGAGAATTTTAAAAAATGATTTAAAAAAAAAAGAATTAATTTTTTTTTAATAGAACTTGCAAAACGTGAATTGGAAAAAAAAAATTACATTAATTAAATAATGAACTCATATTGAACAAATATTATATATTTACATATATTTATTTTTGCATACTGACACTTTAAGAGATTCAGGTCGGCAGTTGTATGCTGATGTAAAACAAAGATGCCGATTTAAAGAAATATAAAACAGCTGTCGGCATTGCTGAATGCCGACCTCAATTTGGCAGGCTATATATATATGTATATATATATATATGTATATATATATATATATATAAATATATGCATATATATGTATATATATATATGTATATATATGTATATATAAATGTATATATATATGTATATATATATATATATATATATATGTATATATATGTATATATATATATATATAAATATATATATATATATATATATATATATATATATATATATATATATATATACACATATATATATATATACACATATATATATATATATATATATATATATATATATATATATATATATATATATATATATATATATATATATATATATATATATATATATATATATATATATATATAATTAATTTCTTATATGTAATTATATATATATATATATATATATATATATAAATATATATATATAATTAATTTCTATGTAATTATATATATATATATATAATTTTGTAAAAGAAAAAAAAGAAAACAACTTTGGCCCCTTGAGCCTGTACAATTAAACAAAGTCATTAGATTATCTGATAAAGATGCTCTTAATATTGATCTAACACAAGGCCAAATTGATTTTTGACCATAGTTAATAATCATGAACTTTATCTGGAAAAAAAAAAAAAAAAAAAATTGGGTATATGTCTGAACATTGTAAAAAATATGTCTAAACATTGTAAAAAATATTTATTTACAGTCAAAACAGAAAGTTTAAAATCATTTAAAAAACATAAACCAAATTGTATAAAAGGACAAACCTTAGCATTAATGGGCTGCATATTTAATGCTAGCTGCTTTTTATATTGGAACTGTAGAGTACTCAATTTAAAAATAATTAATTGGTATACTTACCACTAACTTTCGAAACACAGAATCCTCTTCTAGCATTTTACAAAAATTTTGAAAAGTATCACTAGTCTTGTATTGCTCCATTACAAACATTTGGTCTTGATTGTCCTCCGCTATATTTCCTACTAGCGACAATTTCATCTTGCACAAATCATCTTCTATTCTACAAACTCTCAAAGTTAATTCTTTAATGCTTTGATATGACTTTAGAGTAATAACTAAATAATATCAAAAGCAAATAAAAAGATGAAATTAGAAAATACCACCTTTCAAAAAAAAAAAAAATAATGAATGATTGGTGTTCTCAAACATCTTTAAGAACACCAGTCTCAAAATTGGTCTGAATACACCACTATTAACATAAAAATATACTTTGTGGAGAAACATAATAACATTGTACAAACCATGTAATTTCTTTAACAGTGACTGCAGTGAATCGTCATCATTCACAGAAGAGTCCTTTAAATTTAAGTCATCTTGTTCTGAAATGTCTGACAACTCAAAGTTGGTCAATTCCAAACTGCGTGCTATATCAAAGATAATGATTAAAAATTTTTTATAAATTAGGGCATTGAAAATAAATTATTTTTATAATATCAATATAAGTAGAGTAAAACGAGGTAAAACAGGGTAACACTTATATTTGTAATTAACTTTTTTCATATAATAAAATGATTTATTCAATAATTTTTTTTTATTTTTTGTTGAGAAAAATGAGCTCTATTCGAATATGTTAAAAAAAAAAATCATTGAAAGTTTTTTAGTAAAATGAGTTTATTTGAAAAAAAAAAGTGTTCAATTTTACCTTACAAATCAGGTAAAACTGAACCTGTTAAAGTATTGGTAATTTAGTCTAATTAATTATAATTTTAATTTACTGATTTAGATCTGAACAGGAAGTTATTAAAAGTATATTACAGCAAAGATGTGAACAGGAAATTGTTAACTTATAGGAATACTATTAGAGAAGACATTCTTAGGGCTATTTCACATCTATCAATATTTTTATTCAAAATGCTTAAGATCAATTATGAAAAATTTATTGTGTAGTAAAGGTACAGGTAATAAAACTAATAGTTTTTTACCTTCATGTCTTGGTTGCATAATAGTACTTGAAACTTTAACTTCATTTGCGTTTACAGATTGAAGGGATTCTTTATCTTTCATTGTCATTAGGCTTGCTGTAGGTTGGTTTTCTTTTAAAAGCACTATAATTTTAGAGAGTTCCTTATCTATTACCTTTAAATCATTTTTAAGTAATGACACATTTTATAAGGAAATCTTGCTTAAATAGTAACTTAGTTATTTTAAAATAAGTGTAAAAAAAAAAATTACGTGGAAAGTTAGGAAGTGATTTCAATTTTATTTGTTGTGAATTCTTGCTGCAATCTGATTGTTCGCCTAATAGAGAAATTGAACTGAATTTAAAGTTGTATAACTATTTAAGATACTTACAGGTAAAAGGACCTCATAATGCAATGGGACCTCAGAAGGTCAGGTTTTAAAAAGGCAACATTGAGTGCAGTATTTTTCATTAATCACTGAAAGTGTTGAATAATCTGAATAAAGAATGTAATGTTAAGTTAAAAAGAAAAAACTACGTGTAATTCTTAAGAAACATAATGATATGTTCATTCTAGAAGGAATCAGATAAATAAAAGAAATTGTTAACCTTATCTTTTATTATATTCAAAATGAAACTATTTTGTTGGTCCTATTGAATAAATTTGTTTGACCATTATTGAGTTTGAGCCAGTATTACCTAAAACATTATGACAAAACGATTAATGAAAATAAAATAAAAAATGAATAAATATTTTAGGCAGAAATTATCTAAACAATATTGGCAACAATACTACCAATAATTTAACCTAATATTTTAAGGTCCATGAAAAAAGTGACTATTTATTAAAAGTATTTTGAGCTCAGCAGGATCTCAAAAAACACCTAGCAATCTGAGATCTTTTTAACTGTTTATACAAACATACAATTTTCCTGTTTCATTTATTGATAATAACTTATTGACAATCACAACAGTAACAAGTTCAATTAATTAAAGGTTTAATAAATATATTGCAAAATATATATTGAATAGAAACATGATTTAAACTGAACAATTGATTTTTAAACTTAGCATTGAGGAAGTAAAAATTATCTATACAAAAATGTAAGGAAAAATACTTTATGTTAACCATAAAAATGTAAAAAAAAAAACTTTATAAAAACTCTTACTGTCATCACTTTCACTATAATCTTTATAGACAGGAGAACTGTTTCTTGTTCTAATTTTCATTATTTTCTTTCCAAATTCTTCAGAGCTATTATCTATATTTGGCAGCGTTCTTAATCTTTTTTTGTAAGGTGTAGCACCAAGCGGTATTGTAGCTGAAGTTATAGAATTTTCAACATCAGTCAGTGTTACCGCTGATCCATCAGACTTGCCAGATTGGTCTGCTTGAATATTTTCTGCTTTGTTAAAGGCATCTTAGGAAAAATTTAAAAGGTATGTGATTTCAGACAATAATTTATCTTAAAAGAAACACAACAAATTAAAGTCATATAAACCTGTCTTAGCATAAATTTTTGTAATTTCATACTCTCTCCAGTTTGGATTAAATATACTGTAGTTTTTAGTTTTTTCGAAGGAGGAAGTCCATCGGCATTTCCATATTCCACAAACTTTATACAACCATGGCCGCGGAATAATGGCAATGTGCCCAGTGTGGAGAGCACAAACAACAAACTTTAAAAGAAAAAAGAAATTTCTCTTGAAAGATTTATGAAAAAAACTGATTTAATAATTTTTATTATTGATTTATAATAACTTTGTTCATTCAAAATTTATTTTGTTTATAATAATAATAATAGTAATAGTAATAAAAACAATAATAATAATAATAATATATATATATATATATATATATATATATATATATATATATATATATATATATATATATATATATATATATATATATATACATATATATATATATATATATATATATATATATATATAAATATATATATGTGTGTGTTTGTGAATTTCCTGACAATCCCTGACCTAGTTGAAAAGACACTTTTGCCTCTGACTTTTTGACTGTATAAAACCTGTACTATTTTGATTACAGACTATATAGAGTCTGTGATATACTGTTATATAAAATTAGATAATATAATAAGTTAACTTGGTAATATTATGATATCGCTTTGATATTATAATGATGCCATTATTTGATATCATAACTTGAGAAAGTTTTGATACCATTCTGATCTTGCTTGTAGACTGGGAGAGACAAACTTAATGTTTATGGTGCTTTATAACTAATATATAAAATTCCAATATAAATTAAGTCAGCTAACTAAAGTTGTGATATCACTATGTTATTACAATGATATCATTATTTAATATCATAACTTGAGAAAAGGTTTTAAGGTTTTCTCTCCCAGTCCAGAAGTGAGATCTTTTAGATATCAGAATATTATCAAAATATTCTCAAGTTATGATATCAAATAATGATATCATTATAATAACATAGTGATATCACAACTTTAGTTAGCTGACTTAATTTATATTGGAATTTTATATATTAGTTATAAAGCACCATAAACATTAAGTTTGTCTCTCCCAGTCTACAAGCAAGATCAGAATGGTATCAAAACTTTCTCAAGTTATGATATCAAATAATGGCATCATTATGATATCAAAGCGATATCCTAATATTACTAAGTTAACTTATTTTATTATCTAATTTTATATAACAGCTTTAAGGAACCGTAGGCGTTATGGTTTTTTCTTACTATGTTCAAGTAGCATGTTTGAATTTTAAAATCATTTAATGATATCATTACGATGTCAAAAACTTATAATGCTGTGGTATAAAAAACAAATTGCTTCCGTATATACTAATTTGCGGAAAAACCTGAAGAAAGAGATAGAAATAATGAAAAAACGTCTGAGTTAAAAGTAGTTATTTAAAAATATTTTAAAAAAGAACTATGATATCATTATGATATCATAGCTATATCGACACTTTACCAAGTTAACTTATTTTATTATCTAATACTTACAAGGATTATCTAATATTATTATCTTATATTTATAAAACTTATTTTATTATCTTAATATTTACATTTATTATCTAATATTTACTTCCGTTCATACTAATTTGCTTGAGAACGTCTGAGTTAGAAATGATAAAAAAGCGTGTGAGTTAAAAATAAGTATATCAAGATGGCAGAAAGATACCCGAGCGAAAAAGTTAAAAAAACCGTACGAAATTAATTTTAGACTTATTTCATTGTTGTTTTTTAATTTTTAAAATGTAAATATAAAGTCAGTGCTGTGGCAAAAAACAACATAATTTATAGTTAGTATAATAACAGGTTGTTTTTTAATGTTCTTTTTTGGTACAGAGAAGGGCTTGGTGATTCATAATCAGTAGCGAAACTTCGAATTTCTCCCCCCCCCCCCGCGCCAAATTTTCAAAATGGGACCCACATCCCACATACAACCTAAAATTAGCTTGAAAATGGGCTTCTTTTTTTCCTGCCCCCTTCCCTGCGGGCCCGTATTTGCGGCACTGTTCATAATGCTTTCAACTAAAAATTCTTTTATTTTTTTTATAGTATAAAAAAAAAATAAAAGAATTATCTTAGTTGAAAGTATCATGAGCCATATATGGCTGTAAATTTCATTATTAACTAAAGCCAAGTTTTCATTATTAACTAAAGCCAATGCCGACTAAATCTTCATGATACTTTCTACTTGATGACATTCATGATATTTCATGAATGTCATCAAGTAAAATATATATTTGGCTGCAGCCAATTGTTTTATATAGCCGATAATTTCAAACCCAATAGGGCAAATCGAACCCGGTTTGAAACAGTTTATAAAAGAAACTAAATGATTTTATTTGGAGCTTTATCATAACCGAGTGTAAATAATATTATATAGGAAGACAAAAAAAAGATGTCGAATATTCGAATTTTAGTGTAACTTTTAAAGCTTTAGAATTGAAGTAAATAACTTTGTTTATCTTTTTTAGACACACCTATTATATGATTCCTTATCAGGAAGAAACTTTTTATCATAAAGAGTTATTAAAAATAGAAAATATAAATAAGATATTATTTATATTTTCTATTTTTATGTAGTTATGTTAAAGCATGTCATTATACATTACTTACACTCTAAAAAAAAAAGGTAGAAATTTCTACTTTAAGGTAGGATATGTGATATACCTTTAGTAAGGTATAATTTTCTACTTTTCAAGGTAGATAATTATATTATAAACAATGTTTTGTCAGACTATTATCTTCCTTAAAGGTATAATTTTCTACCTTAAAAAGTAAAAATTTATACCTTACTAAAGGTATATCACATATCCTGCCCTAAGGTTGAAATTTCTACCTTTTTTTTTAGAGTGTAGCACTACTGCAGTTTCTCTTATTAACATTTTCTATTAAATAGAAAATGTTAATTTTCGTTTAATATTTATCATAAAATAGAAAATAGAAATAGAATATTTTTATTTTCTATTTTTTGATAATATTATTAACATTATCATTGATAAATAATATTGTTTATTAATGATAATGTTAATAATATTATTTATCAATAATAATATTTTTGTCATAGTCTAGTCTATGACAAAAATAATATTATTGACCTGTACTATTTTTACTATATACTATACACATTACTATTTCTATCACAGACTCTATATAGTCTGTAATCAAAATAGTACAGGTTTTATACAGTCGGAAAGTCAGAGGCAAAAGTGTCTTTTCAACTAGGTCAGGGATTGTCAGGAAATTCACAAACACACACACATATATATATATATATATATATATATATATCTTTTAAAGTTTGTTGTTTGTGCTCTCCACACTGGGCACATTGCCATTATTCCGCGGCCATGGTTGTATAAAGTTTGTGGAATATGGAAATGCCGATGGACTTCCTCCTTCGAAAAAACTAAAAACTACAGTATATTTAATCCAAACTGGAGAGAGTATGAAATTACAAAAATTTATGCTAAGACAGGTTTATATGACTTTAATTTGTTGTGTTTCTTTTAAGATAAATTATTGTCTGAAATCACACACCTTTTAAATTTTTCCTAAGATACCTTTAACAAAGCAGAAAATATTCAAGCAGACCAATCTGGCAAGTCTGATGGATCAGCGGTAACACTGACTGATGTTGAAAATTCTATAACTTCAGCTACAATACCGCTTGGTGCTACACCTTACAAAAAAAGATTAAGAACGCCGCCAAATATAGATAATAGCTCTGAAGAATTTGGAAAGAAAATAATGAAAATTAGAACAAGAAACAGTTCTCCTGTCTATAAAGATTATAGTGAAAGTGATGACAGTAAGAGTTTTTATAAAGTTTTTTTTTTTACATTTTTATGGTTAACATAAAGTATTTTTCCTTACATTTTTGTATAGATAATTTTTACTTCCTCAATGCTAAGTTTAAAAATCAATTGTTCAGTTTAAATCATGTTTCTATTCAATATATATTTTGCAATATATTTATTAAACCTTTAATTAATTGAACTTGTTACTGTTGTGATTGTCAATAAGTTATTATCAATATATGAATCAGGAAAATTGTATGTTTGTATAAACAGTTAAAAAGATCTCAGATTGCTAGGTGTTTTTTGAGATCCTGCTGAGCTCAAAATACTTTTAATAAATAGTCACTTTTTTCATGGACCTTAAAATATTAGGTTAAATTATTGGTAGTATTGTTGCCAATATTGTTTAGATAATTTCTGCTTAAAATATTTATTCATTTTTTATTTTATTTTCATTAATCATTTTGTCATAATGTTTTAGGTAATACTGGCTCAAACTCAATAATGGTCAAACAAATTTATTCAATAGGACCAACAAAATAGTTTCATTTTGAATATAATAAAAGATAAGGTTAACAATTTCTTTTATTTATCTGATTCCTTCTAGAATGAACATATCATTATGTTTTTTAAGAATTACACGTAGTTTTTTCTTTTTAACTTAACATTACATTCTTTATTCAGATTATTCAACACTTTCAGTGATTAATGAAAAAAACTGCACTCAATGTTGCCTTTTTAAAACCTGACCTTCTGAGGTCCCACTGCATTCTGAGGTCCTTTTACCTGTAAGTATCTTAAATAGTTATATAACTTTAAATTCAGTTCAATTTCTCTATTAGGCGAACAATCAGATTGCAGCAAGAATTCACAACAAATAAAATTGAAATCACTTCCTAACTTTCCACTTAAATTTTTTTTTTACACTTATTTTAAAATAACTAAGTTACTATTTAAGCAAGACTTCATTATAAAATGTGTCATTACTTAAAAATGATTTAAAGGTAATAGATAAGGAACTCTCTAAAATTATAGTGCTTTTAAAAGAAAACCAACCTACTGCAAGCCTAATGACAATGAAAGATGAAGAATCCCTTCAATCTGTAAGCGCAAATG